TGTTTGAGGAATCAACATTTCGCACGAAAGCCCAAAGTGGCGAAATGGCGTAAGGTGAGTGATGTGGCATGGCGTGTGGGTGGCCTTCGCCACGCCCACAGTGCTCAGCAGACATGCATGACATTCTGATACATAAGGACAGTTTTTCCTGCACTGAGACAAGCATGCAATTTTGGGCATCAGATGTCATCTGAAGAGACTAGGTGGCACTATCCGGCAGCTTGCCTCTAGCCTTTGATAACATCTTGGGCGTGAAGAAACGGTATGCGCTTAGCACGTTGCAGTAGAGGTATGGTGATTGATAGTTGCTGTTTTATGAATTTGCAGTGGAGAAAGGAAGGGGCAGTGATGGCTGGTAGGGCGGAGGGAGGTTTGGGACGTATGGGGCGACGCACACCGGCCCAACTGCAACTCATTGTTCTGTTTCCATGCGACTGGATGCACAGCTGCTTGTAGAAGCGCTAGCAGTATCGCGCAGACTATTTGGAACGGGTGTTGCATGTTCTGCCGAGCCCTTCCCGGCGTGTAGGTGAGTAACACGCCGGTTCTGCGCTTGTTACTATTGTTGGCGTATCTGGACACCAAGCACTGAGAGCGCCACTACATCATCTAACTTTAATGCGTGTAGAAAAGCTTGTTTGCACCATGTGGCCTGAAGAATTGGTCGTACTGCTGGGTCGGTGTTTGTGACGAGACTCGTGGGCGGGCGCAGTGTCTTAAGTGGAAAAATGCTGTGCTCACCGCTTTGCCATTTAGGCAGCACTCCATGACGCCAGAGCAGAGCATAACGTCAGCAGCATCTTGACTGTAGTGGTGACAGTTGTAGAATGACGGTGGAACAGGAATATTTGCATGGGTGAGTGGGCCTGAGGATGGGAAGGGTTTCGGACTGGATATGGGATATTTGTAGACGAATGGAGTGCGTGTTTGAATTCGGCGGCGGTGTGGTGCACGGATGTGTGGGCGGGCGCTGCGGACCTCGCGTTGTGCGTGTGGCCCTTCGCAACGCCTCGTCCAACAGGGCCTGCATACTATTTCCACTTTGCACTAGAGTGAGTGTGCATGATGGTTGTGGTAGGATGAATTTGCAGTAATGGGAAGACGGGTATATGGGGTCTAGGAACTGAAGGAAAGATGAGGGCGTCAGGCATAGAGAGGACTGTACTCTGCGCAAGTTGGCTTTTGTTTTGTATCGTGGAGTAAGCATGTGTGCTTGTCTCAGCTTACGCATGTTGAGCAGCAGTCGTTGAGAACAGTGTTCGATGCTGTGTCGAGTTCTTCAGGGCCTCGAGGTGCGTGAAATCTGCAGCCGCCGATGACACAAATCAGAAAGTATGCATTTTAAAGACTGTGGCACCGCGAAGAACGACTATATCATATGAACTACACTGAGCTCTACAGAGTGTGAAGGCCTCTAGCGGATCTGTGGTTGATGTATGGGCTGGCATTTGTTGGGCGCTAGATGTTGCGTTGAAACGGAAGGCGCTGCCTCGGTGAGACTCGCATCCCTGACGCAGGGAGTGTGTTCTTCTTGCCCGCCGATTCGTGGGATCTCTCCGGACAGATCGGCACCAATATCATGGATGATTGGGTGACCAGAAATAGCGCTGAGCTATTTTGTGTATCTTGTACTTGTGGCGAAGACGTGTTTCGCGACTTTTGGAAGTGGTGGGTTTGCGTGTTGTGGTGAGTGGCACTGCATGGCGTGCGGCCTGCTTTTCCCGTGGTTACAGGTGCTCAGCAGCGACGAACGTCATTCGGACGGTCTAGATCTGAGACGGAAATTCTTGTGGCACTGAAGCTTGCGTATGATCTGCGTCTGGTTTCGTTGCGTGATGAGGATGCGGCAGGAGTCGTGGTGAGCATGGGGGAGCTGAGCGACCGTTGAGGAGTGTTTGAGCGGAACGTGCAAAGCAGGACGGGCATACGTAGGGGCGAATGGCGATGCACCCAGGACAAGTGCATTGCGAAGATCTAGAGAGGATGCACAGACGCCAACAATCAATTTGGGATGGATTCGAGAAGTGTGGATGGTCAGTAGGGGTGTAGTAGTATAGGAAAGAGCAACGCCCGCGTGCGTGTTTGCTCTAGCTCGGTTCCCACACGTTCGGGTAAGTGGTGGGTGTGGTGCAAAGGTATTTGTTGCTTGGAGCAAAGAATCTTGCTAAAACTAGAAAAAGTGCCTCTTCGCAGTGTGGGCGGTGCACAGTTGGCGATAGGAACGAGGAGATGCATGCGCAGCATTGGCAATGCTAGAGCCCGTTGCGTCTTGGCGCGCGGTTGAGAGGAGATTCCCAATTGCCCAGCGTATGAATGAAGGCAATGACTATTCTGCGCAGGACGTGAGCACTGGGAATATCGAAAATATCGAGGCGGAATACAGAGACAGGAAAGGTCAATTCTCGTTGAATTGGCGACCATGTGGCATGCGTGGAACAGATTGTGGAGGAATAGGTGTTTGGGAGGAGACTCGTGGGCGGGCGCAGTGTCTTAAGTGGAAAAATGCTGTGCTCACCGCTTTGCCATTTAGGCAGCACTCCATGATGCTAGGACAAGGTGCAATGTCAGCAGCATCTTGACCGTAGTGGTGACAGTTGTAGAATGACGGTGGAACAGGGATATTTGCATGGGTATGAGTGGGCCTGAGGATGGGAAGGGTTTCGGACTGGATATGGGACAGGAGTTGTGGTGAGCATGGGGGAGCTGAGCGACCGTTGAGGAGTGTTTGAGCGGAACGTGCAAAGCAGGGCGGTCATACGTAGGGGCGAATGGCGATGCACCCAGGACAAGTGCACTGCAAAGATCTAGAGAGGACGCACAGACGCCAACAGTCAATTTGGGATGGATTCGAGAAGTGTGGATGGTTAGTAGGGATGTAGTAAAGAGCAGGGGCCGTGTGCGTGTTTGCTTACCTCTGTTCGCAAACTAGATGTGGAAGGTTGAAGCAAAAGGCGCTATATCGGCCGGACTCGCCTTGCGGACGCAGGGAGTGTGTTCGTTTCGCCTACTGGCTCGTGGGATCACTCCAGAGATTGCGGCGTGAAACTCTGACTGTGTGTTCGTCTTTGCGGAGGCATACTGACGGAGTCCTCGCAAAAGTGGTTCGCCTTTTCGAGGGGTGGGGCCATAAGGTAAAGCAGGCTGGAGGGCTGTACACAGTAATGCCATGCGGCATTATTGTACAAGGTGGCTCTATTATGTGTGATAGCATCAGGTTTGTCGGAAGTACACTGCCATGTGCTTTTGAAGCGAACAATGGGCACGTGGCACGTGCATATAAGACTCCGAAGAACCGAGATGTTTTTCAAGATGCGTTTTGAGCTGAGACCGCAAATTTCATTGGTCCTGTTGACGGCGATACAGAATATCGATTTTTTGTTTGGTATTCCTGCTCTGGTTAGGTCAGCTTTCATGCCAATGCGTGGGACCGTAGGAGCATATAATGTGTTTTCGCGCTTTGGGGGGAACTGAAATTACATTATCAAAGTACATTATGATATTCCATGGATAACTGAGACCTGAATAGTTCCAACGGTACAAACTGTCACAGGTGGAGCATCAACAATTAGGCGGCTGTGAAGGAGTAATGCACATGCCGCGGAATTACTAGTGGTGCATGTGTAAGCTTTGACCATGAGCTTCCAGTGAACGGAAACGTTTTGGACAGCATGGATCCCTTTAGTGCAAGATGCGTAATTGGAGGATTATGCATATAACATGCGATGTAGGAACTACTTGGGTGACGATTTGGCCTATTTGTCGCGAGAGCAAGACACTAGTTCCGGGCGCGACGTTGTTGGTCAGCGGTACTCTGTATTGCAGCTACTCAGTTGTACTAAAAAGACGGTTTTCTTTCACATACCGTAGGGTGCTTGCCTAAATTTGAAGGCACGCTCCGCTGTTTGCAGAGGACCCTAACGTGTCCTAGCTTGGTATGTATTGGCAGCTGCTTGGTATGGAAAATCCCGTGGTGACGTGAACCTAACCTTCTGTCTCTTTATTGAGGTCCAAGACACCTGATTTCCTGGAGTCCGGTCGTATTTCCTATACTACAAACGCAGATCTATTAGCCGGCTTTGCTCCGTATTTCTACTCAGCATGCTGGTATTCCACAACGTCAGCATATTATGCGAGACGCTTTAACCAAGGCAATGCTGCAACTGATGGATCCTCTCGAATGTAGTTCGTAAGAGGAACAGCACTGCACTGGTCACCACACTGTCCTGTCACTTGGCTGTAATTCATTTTCCCATCAAAAACAAAGCTCTTGTTTGCGACTAGAACGCATGGGCCAGTTGCTGCTGTTTGCTTGCTATGCTGTGTCAGCCAGGATTGCATTCACAGCTGACGCATATTTCCACGAAGCCCAACCAAGTAATTTTCAATCGGGATATTTTCCTGTGTAGCAAAAATGCGCTTCCAAGGATGTCCCTGGATACGTGGGCGAAGGGAGTGAGTTGAAAAGAGCATCTGGAAACTTAACTGGCGGGTGAGCTGGCGCAGTTTTGCAGTCGATCCTCATTGCTTTCATTGCTTGCCATTTGTGTGCCGTCAATCATGGAACCATGCCGCGTGGATGAGGCTAGCCAGCAGCAGACGTGGCGGTAACTAGGCTTGGTACAACCAGCAAATGACGTTTTAGTGAACTGGAAGATCTACGCGAATGCTCCCCTTTTTCGTGCAGGCACAGTGTCACGCCCAAACTTGTGGCGGGCATCTTTAAAACGTTGACAAGGGCTGTGTGCAGTTCTTCAAGGGCATTCGGTCAGTGCAGGCATCTGTTCTGGACGCTCGTAATAGGACGCAGAGCAGTCGGGTTTTAAGGATCTTTAAGGCAGCAAGAACGATGGGTTACTTTGGGGAACCAGATACCCTGGCACAGCCGGATACTGCTTGCAAACCGACCAACAGGGACTGTTAGGCACTGCTTTATGTTGAAGGAAGCGTTTGAAATTTTAACAGAAAGTTCGTCAAGACCATGCGGCCAGCGCAGAGGATGGATTTGTGTTGACATTGCCCCTTTTATTGCCCTTCAAAATAGACCACAAAGCATTAGAGTTTCACGAGGGTAGAAACAAACAAGAACGCTAGGTTCTCGGTGAGAAGCAGTAACAGCAATGTGCAATGCAACGAACAGGGCCTTTTTCGGCTCCTAAGTGAACTTTATATCGACATTGGTGAGTACGTATAGTCTCGGTAAGCACTTGATTTAACTGTTGATTATTCTAACCGCATGGATGAGCAGTGTGCACCATTTAGATGGTCGTAAGAGTGGTCGACACGCTCAAACAGATGGTAGGCGCCATCGCGAAGCCGCGTAGATAAGAGCAGAACAATTTGATCAACCTTTTGCCTTTGTATACATGCATATTCCGACCAGTTTAAGTTTTTGATAGGTTCACCATGAGATTGCATCTTCATGAACATGAGCGCAAGTGGTTTTGTACAAACATCCGGAGCCCATATACAATCTAAGAAATTGAGCAGTGAAGAGAACACTGAGAGGAGAACAGGAGGCAAAGCGATTCAAAATGCCCTTTCTCTTCCTTATGACATAGATTTTAATTTGTACTAGGACATGGCTTCGCTACACTTGGTGGGATTCTTATCCAAATTTGCCGTAGCTTGCTACAGGCAGTGATAGCGCTAGCACTATAGCTGTTGAGCTGCGCAAACAAATCCCTGCACGGTGTGCTAGTGACTGCCCTTGCTCCATATCGCCCCAGGACAGATACACGTTGTGGATCTCGCGCTGCTCTTCCTAGGAGACCACTTGTTTGCTGTCGTTGTAAGTTTCCGATGGGGGCGGTCCCCTTGTATAACAAACGAGGGACGCCGAGCTGTTCGGTCAGACCACTGCCTAGCTTTCATTAACATCTGTGTTGCCTCAGGAAGCAGGGGTTACTGAGCTATGTGAGCTGATAGTGAGTTGTTAATGCTTGTGCAGTGATACCCTGGCTGATAGACAAATGGTTTAGTGCAACGCGCTAGACGGCATGATACTGCGATCCCCAGCCTCCCGGATGTTTTTGATGGGACACAACGGCTTTTATCTGTTTCCGCTCAGCGTGTGAACAAGTAATGCGCATGCACTGCCGCCTTTGTCTTGTCGTTAGCTATTGCGTGTTGCTTGTACTGGCGGGTGATTGTTGTGCGTGCTGCAAAGATGCATCAATTGGTGGTGAGTGAGCATGGCTAACTGTGAAAATGTGTCATTGCCCTTATGTTTATTCGAGAGCTGCCTTTTCTTCTTCTCCGTGGCTTCATGTAGTACAGTCCAGCCCTTTCGCGCAGTGCAGACTATGCACTTGCTTGCTGTGCTCAACTCAGCGAGTATGTCGTGGCCTCTTCTTACTCGACAGAAATATCGCCAGCCGGTCTCACGTGGTTCTCATTATGATCCTTTGGAAAAATAGGACGTGCCGAGGTCTCAGGATCCTATACATTAAGATGATCTGTAATCACTGGTTGCAATTATTCGTGTCGCCGCGTTCCATCGCTGCCTCCGTATTGGGTAACCAATAAGAAAGATCGTCATCTGTACTCATGGATGAAGGCCCGTGCAGTACAGATCGGCAGTGAACCTCTAAGCTCACAGCGGCATTAGACCTAAACTATTATCTTCAAAGATAAGAAGCACAGGCAGAACCTCATGACAAACTGTGTCAGCCCTATACTGTTGCTGTCACTGGCGGCTTGCACGCTGTGCTTATGATTGATGAACAATCGTGCCTGCTGAATCGTAATATGCATTGACCATCTCTCTGTAGTGGATAAGAAAATGGATGAAATCTTCTCTTTTTTCTCGAACGTATCTCAACAATACAACACTGTCTCATGCCACTGCCTGTTTTCACCCGCACACGATGTATTCCGATTCAGAGGGTG